GGGGGAAAGAAAGGGTGGACCCGATGAACCCCCCCCCCTCCCCCCCCTATCCCCGGCAGAGCCATCCCGGCTCCCCCCTAGCAGAGCTGAAGCTCAGGTTGTAGCTTTCTTAAACTCACACGCCGGATCGGCGGATTTGAACGCCGCGGATCAACATGACTGTTGCGTTTTGATGATTTTGAATCGTGCCAGAACGCCACTCCTGGGACTTCAACACCGCGAATCCACGTGGTTGTTATGTCCTGACAATCCCAACTCTTGCCAGAACACACATCCTAGGATTTCATCCTTACGAATCGTTGAAACTGTTGGAGTTTTTTAATGCGAAAGTGCGCGGCGCTAAGGCGAGCACCACAGTTTGAAAAAGAGCCGGCCTGCATCTGTGAAGCGGCTGCAAGCTTTCAAACGAAGTTGCGCGGCACTGGTGCGATTCCTGGCTTCGAAATCGACCGGCCCTCTATCCTTGGAGCCGGTGCGACTTTTCTTAAAACGAATGGTCGCGGCGCTGAGGCGAGAGCTCCACGTTGCAAAGGGCCCCTCCTCCACCATCAAAGCCGTTGCGCAGTCCGAGCTTCAGGGTCATGAGCGGCGAGGAGGCATAGCGCGGAACGCCCGAGCCCGGCCTGCGGGCACGCCTGCTGGTGCGACAGGCGTTTTTTTCGCCTGGAAGGAAAAGGGTCGGCCCAGGATGAAGAGGACCGGCGTGAGCTCAAAACGCATCTACAGTGCCGTTTTTAATACATGCTCCGCGTGCGGATCATGTATTAAAAATGCAGAGATTAGTTTTAAAAGCAAAGATGAGTTCATGCATACATTTATTCATGCATTGATCATGTATTAAACATCATATATTTTACTATCATATGTAGTAAAAGCTGCCCTGTAACGTGTTGCAACTTACCCTCCCTCCAAGTTTCCTCTGCACAGGTCCGACAGTTTCGTTTTCGTCGCGGGTCGCTTCCCATTGAAGAGCAGTCGCCTGAGAATTCTCCACCGTGCCAACACACAAGTCCTGGGACTTCAGCGCCGCGAATAAACGTGACTGTTATGTTCTGACAGTCCAGAATCGCGCCAGAGCATCATTCCGTGGAATTTCACGCCGCGAATCAACATGATCGTTGCGTCCCAAGCCGTGCCAGAACACCAGTCCTGCAACTTCATCCTTACGATCTCGTTGACCATGTTGGAGCATTTAAGGACGAATGTGCGTGGCGCTAAGGAGAGCACCTCATGTTGAACAGGAGCCATCCTCCAGTCATGAAGCTGTCGCGGACTTTTAGGATGAATGTGCTGGACGCGAAGGCCAGAGCCACATTTTGAAAACGACCCGCCCTCCATGTGTGAAGCTGTTTGAAATCTCTAAAAGGATCCACGCGACGAGGAGACGGTAGACACATTTTGAAAACGGCGCGTCCTACATGCTTGAAGCTGTTTCAGATATTCAATGCGCATGTGCGCGACGCTATGGTGAGAGCAACATTGTGAAAACGACCCGCCTGCCATCCTTGAAGCAGCGGCGAATTGCAAGCTTCAGGGCCACACGTGGTGATGCAGTGTGAGGCACAGCGCCCAGCCTGGCCTACAGACGCGTCTGCGGGTGCGACAGGGCAGTTTTTTTGAAGGACAAAGGTCTGAGGAGGAGGAGGAGGAAAGAGCAGGCGGAGGATGAAGAGGGGAGGAGGAACGCGGGAGGAGGAGGAGCAGCAGGAGGTGGAGGACAAGGAGGAGGACAACAAGAAGTGGATCCTCTCGGGTCTTCTCTGGTGCACCCTGGAGTCCCAGCGAGCCTTCTCCCGGGCCCTCGGGGACCAAATGGCTATCTGGGATATTTCTGGTCCTCGCATGGGGCGCTCCAGACAAGGCTTCGCCTCCGAGGGGTCGAGAAGTTGTTGACCTCTGCAGTCGAAGCCGATAGCAAGGATGATCAACTTCCCAAAGGGTACCCCTTGCGTCCCTGCCGCCTCGGTCTGTCCTTGACAACTGTCGATTGCCAGCCCCACTCGAGAAGCCTCGGCATGGTCGCCCAAGAGTCTTGTATCCTTATCGCGCATCCCTACTATCATCAGGAGGGAAAAAAACACAGACACAATTAATCGTCCATTCCCAGGAAAATATGGGAAAATATGGGAAGTGGGGGGGAGGGAATCTTTTTATTTGTGTCTATTTATTTGTGCGTCCTAGGGCCCCTTCATATCAGTTTGACTGCATTCGTCGGCAGAGGGCGGTGCAAGGCCGGCGGGATCACAGCGGGTGCGGCTCCGCCAGGCGGAAGGCAGGCGGCGGGCCGGCGGAAGCGGGCCGAGGTGGCTGCCAGCCCCCAGAGAGGAGCAGACGTTTCCGGATGTAGTATTTACGGAACGGGTCCATCTCGCCAGAGTGCTCATGCTGTTGTCTGTTCCTGACGCGTCGCGTGGTATTTCGATTTGTTTTGGAGGGTGAGGCAGGAAGCTGCTCGCTGCCCCTCCCACTCCGCGGGTCCCCGAGATCGCGGAGTGGGACGGTCATCGAGGACAGGAGAAGGAAGTGACCATGCACATGGGGAGGACGATCGAGGGCGAGAGGGGAATCGACGATGGAGGCTTGGAAGAGGATTGCGAGTGGGAAGAGGATCGAGGGGAGGAGGAGAAGTTGGAGGAGGAGGAGGAGGAGGAGGAGGACGACACTCGAGGGAGGGAAGTGTAGGATCGAGGATGGGATGAGTATCGCGGATCGAGGTTGGGAGGTTGGGAGGAGGAGCGATTTTGGGAGGAGGATCGAGGATCGGAGGGTGCTCGAGGGTGGGGGGGTGATCAACCATGTAAGGTCTACTGAGGACTGAGGTTGGGTGCAGCATCGGGAACCCAGGAATGAGATTCGGAGGAGCATCGAGGACGGGAAGGACATCGAGGATGGGAGGGCAATCGCGAAGACGAGATAAGGAGGAGGACCAGCGTAAACCCAAGACTCACCAACGATGTTGCAATGAAACCTCCCTCCGAGCTCCCTCCCCGCATGTCCCTACAAGGATCCATTCTCACTGAGGCGCCCCGTTGGCAGACAATCGTCGGAAAATCCAGAACCGTGCCAGAGCACCATCCCTGGAACTTCAACGCCGCGAATCAACGTTCCCGTTGCGTCCTGACGATCCTGAATCGTGCCAGAACACCGCCCCTAGGACTTCAATACCGGGGGTCAGCGTATTTGGTTTGCCCTGACTATCCTACATCGTGCCCTGACTATCCTACATCAAGTTTTTGGACGTCGACAATGGTCATCCCAGACACTGATGTAAACTCTTAAGACGACTGTGCGCGGCGTTCAGGCGAGAGCCACGTTGTGAAGAGACACCGCCCTCCATCCGTGGAACTGTCGCACATGTGTAACACGAATGTGCGCAGCGCTCAGGCGAGAGCCACATTTTGGACATCGCCCGCCCACCATCCGCCGAACTCTTGCAAATCAAAAAGCACATGTGCGCGGCGCTGGAGCGAGAATCACGTGTTGAACGCCGCCCGCCCTCCATCCCTGAAGCCCTTGCACATTCTTGATCACGAGCGTGCGCGGCGCTAGGGCGAGAGCCGCAGTTTCGAGCGCCGCCCGCCCTCCGCCCGTGAAGCTGCTGCACACATCTGCGACGAGTGCGCGCGGCGCCAAGGCGAGAGCCGCCTTCTGAGAACGGCTCGCCCTCCACCCGTGCAGCCGTCTGCAGCCCGTCAGCCGAAGTATCTTACATTGCGAGGAAGTCGCGGGCGAAACGCCCGGCCCGCCCCGTCGGCACGCCTCGGGGTGCGACAGGGAGGAGTTCTTCAGACGGGGTATGGCTTGGAGGGTCGAGGACGAGAGGACGGACCCTGGGCTGGGGACGACGACTCCCGTCGCGATTCTTTGGTGGCGTTTTGGATGCGAGTGGAGGGGGGGATGCGGGAGGCTCGGTCCAGTACTGCTCCAGTGGCCCCCTGACGGCTCTCCAAGATCCCCTTTTTCTGGGGATCCCACGGGAGTTGACAGCGCCTCCTTTCCTCTGGGGCGGGCCGAGCAGAGCGCGAGGAGGAGGAGGTGGAGGAGGAGGAGGAGGAGGAGGAGGAGGAACGTGGAGGAGGAGGGGGTTAGGAGACAGAACATCCTCCTCTTGGGCCTTCTCTGGTGCCTGCTCGGGCTCCAGCAGGCGTCCTCTGTGCTCTCTGGGATCCCCTAGCTCTCTGTGACATCTCTGGTCCCGACACGTCCAGAGTGGCCATGCTTCGCTTCCCCCTAACATGTCTTGCGGCAGTTTGTGTGCCCCCGCAAACGTCAAGCAGTGGTTCGAATTCCTCTGAGAAGTGCTGGCTTAGCAGATGCGTCCTATGGGTCACCCACCGGTGGTTCATTTTGTGTACGCTTATGCGTGAGGTCCTTCAGCATGTAGCTCAATTGTATTTGAACATCAGGGGCCACATTGAGGATGCGAGGCGTAGGAGGAGGAGGAGGACGAGGAGGAGGAGGAGGAAGAGGAGGAGGAGGAGGATCATCAGCAGCAGCAGCAGCAGCTTCAGCAGGAGGAGGAGCAGTAGGAGTAGGAGGAGGAGGAGGAGGAGGAGGAGGAGGAGGAGGAGGAGGAGGAGGACCAGGAGTAGGAGCAGCAGCACTGCAACAGCAATAGCAGAAGCAGGATTTTCCTGTCGTGGCAGGCGAATGAAGAGGCGCCAGTGATGATGATGATGATGATGATGATGATGATGATGATGATGATGATGATGATGATGATGATGATGATGATGATGATGATGATGATGATGATGATGATGATGATGATGATGATGATGATGATGATGATGATGATGATGATGATGATGATGATGATGATGATGATGATGAGGAGGAGGAGGAGGAGGAGGATAGGAGAGGAGCAGGAGAGGAGGAGGAGGAGGAGGAGGAGGAGGAGGAGGAGGAGGAGGAGGAGGAGGAGGAGGAGGAGGAGGAGGAGGAGGAGAAGGAGGAACAGGACCAGGAGCAGGGGGAACAGGATGAGGAGGACGCTGCAGCCCATGGACCTCGAGACCGACACCGCTGGGACGTCCATGTCCTCGCGTTGCAGCTCCCGAAAATGCCAGTCGTGCAGCAGTGCCCACGAGGACTCCGCCCGCGCCGCCGCCGGCTGCGCATCCGTCGGCCCGATCGGGTGGCTCTGCACACTCTCATTCCGTCCTCCTCCTCCTCCTCCGCCTCCTGCTTCTTCTTCTTTAAGCCATTCCGCCCCAGGCATTTCTGAGCTTGGTCGTGGGAGCTCCAGCTCGGCGCGGCACGACCGAGCCTGTTGGGGAGGCGGAGAGTTGTTGAGAACACGGCGCACTGCCCGCGGCCCCGTGAACGGAGTTTGGTTTCCCGTGCCGCAGTCAGATGTGGCGCTGTGGAACTTGTGGCTGTGCCAGAAACCTCACGGGCTGGTCGTGGCGCGTTCACCTTGGCATTGCTCGGACGTGTTTATTTTGTTCCTCGGCGAGGACCATCGAGGAGCATCCTGGACCATCTCGCAAAACAAACACGCACGAAACCGAACAATGCACGGGGAATGGACGTCCGAGCGATGGCACGGCACTGCGAGCAGGCCTGGCCCCCGAAGACGTGTAAGCTGGTCAATCCTTCTAGCCATCTCTTGCGGACTCGTGCTGCAGGTCGAGGTGGTGGGCCGCGAGCAGCTCGAGCCGCTGCCCGTGGGAGGTGCTGGGGCCTTCGGGGGCGGACGTTGGCCGCCTTACGTGCCCAACAAACCAGTACCCGTCGGTCGTTGAAAGTCGGTATTGCTGGATATCCAGATCCCAATCTACTTTAAGCGCCTTCCTCCTTCAAGAGTCGAGCGGTTTGCCCTCTTCCCTCTTCTTCAGGGGGCGGGCGGAAGCCCAATCTATGTTCGACGCCTTCCTACTTCATGTTTCTACCCGCTTCTTCCGACCGACGGGTATCCATCGCCTACGAGGGGCTCGGCTCCAGTTACCTGCACGTCGTGGCGGAGATGGCCATTGGCCAAGGCCAAGAGGTCTCGGCCAATAGGCACCCTACGAAGCGGGGCGGCACTCTCGGCAAGGAGCGGGCCCGATACCACCCCCCTCCGTCTCTGCACGCTCGGGGCGTGGCAGGCTCAGTCAAAGGCAGACCGAGCAGTTGGGAAACAGTGTTTCGATAGAGTTGGACAAGCTTTAAGTCGGGCGTGTCCCTCTATAGGAGAAATATTCCAAAATAGTAAAAAACAGTGGAGGGACGATTTTTTGAGCATTTTTAGATGTTTTTGTTTGTATTTTTTGAGCTTTCGTCAGAAATCCCTCTGTATGTGGACATTCCCGACCTAAGACAAGCTGGACCGTTGGCGCGCTAAAGCACGGTCGGACCGAGGTATAGGATCGAGGTCGGTTAGTGGAGGGTGCCCTACTTTTCTTCGCGCTTGGTGCATGTTCTTGTGCATCCTGGGTGAGGGCCCCCTCGAATGTTCTTCAGTCTGGCTGGCGGAGGGTCTCACGTTCTTGAAGGACGTTCTTCTTTCCCAGGTCCGGCCGTATCGGGCTTCGGCGACACCTCAACGAGTTGCCCACGGAGCTGGGCACACACGAGCGGTGCTACGAAGAGCCGGTGGGCCAGATCCGTGACGCCGCCTCGCTCGAAGAGACTGCCAGGGCAGGGCTTATCGCCCAGCTCATCACGGCCATGGCGGAGCATCTCGCCCGCCGCTCTGACGAGCTCGTCGCCGGCGCGGTGGCCCTGAGCCACCTGCCAGCAGAGGCCATCCGGGATGCCGAAGCGCAGGTTCGCCGCCGTCCTGCACGGCGCGGCGGGCGCCATCCGCAGCCAGCGCGCCCGCGCCCCACTCCCCCAGGCACCGCCGCGCGGGGTCCCCGAAGGCGGGCTCCGATGGATGGCCCCGTCGGCGACGGCCTCGTGGATCACCGAGCGCGCGCCGCTGCTCAAAGTTCCTCATCGCAAACGTCCGAACAAACAAAAATTGTTTGCCTGCCTCGGTGCAAGGTGTCGCAGATCCCCCGCGGCGGATCTGGGCCACTGGCGAGCAGTGACTCTGCGAGTGGTGGAGCGCGCTTGGCTGGTGGCGCCCCTCGCGGAGGGCCTGGCCGTGGACGCCTGGCGGGCCGCCCTCGAGGAAGCCAGCTGGGGAGGGCACCCGCTCGACGCCGCGGCACCACGAGACCTCTGGCCTCGGAGGCCCCCCCGCCCACCACGGCCACGAGCGCCCGCCCGCCCCTCCAACCGGCGGCGGGCCTGGGCAGGGACATGGGAAAGAGAGAGAGAGAGAGAGAGAGAGAGAGCATGCCTTCTCGGAAGGCGGCGGGCTTCCCAGAAGCCCTCTCACATCACCGGCGGAGCCCTGCAGGCCTCCCCCGAAGCCGCGGAGACGGCCTCTCAGACGGCCCTGAGGGCTTCTGAGGTGCCCCCCCCGCCTTCTTTGTCCGCACGCAAGAGTGGCCTTTCGCCGGAGTGACCTTTGGTGCGGGCCCCCTGGGGTCCCCCGGTCGCCGAGCGGGAGGCGGCAGTGGCGTCTTGCGCGCTTGTGTTTGGCCCCCCCCCCCCCCCCCCCCCGCGGCCCCCCCGAGGAGAGGAGGAGGAGGAGGAGGAGGAGGAGGAGGAGGAGGAGGAGGAGGAGGAGGAGGAGGAGGAGGAGGAGAGGAGGAGGAGGAGGAGGAGGAGGAGGAGGAGGAGGAGGAGGAGGAGGAGGAGGAGGGAGGAGGAGGAGGAGGAGGAGGCGGAGGCGGAGCGGAGGCGGAGGCGGAGGCGGAGGCGGAGGCGGAGGCGGAGGAGGCGGAGGCGGAGGGAGGCGGAGGCGGAGGAGGCGGAGGAGGGAGGAGGAGGAGGAGGAGGAGGAGGAGGAGGAGGAGGAGGAGGGGCGGAGGAGGAGGAGGAGGCGGAGGCTGGAGGGAGGCGGAGGAGGAGAGGCGGAGGAGGAGGAGGAGGAGGAGGAGGAGGAGGAGGAGGAGGAGGAGGAGGAGGAGGAGGAGGACGGAAGCCGCGCAGCAAAGGTCACTCTTGCCCAGGGCCACTCCTGCGTGGAGCCAGCTTCTGAGGAGGCCCGCCCCCCCTCGCGGCTCTCTCCCCCCTTCCCCGCTGGGATCGCCGCCCCTCCTGCCGCAGGCAGGGCCAGCGCGTCGGGCAGTGGAGCCCACTGCTCCTCGGGAGATGATCCTCCAGAGGAGTCGAGTAGGGGATCGACTGCTCCTCTTCCTCCTCCTCCTCCCTCCTCCTCTTCATCCTCCTCCCGCCTCCTCTTCCTCCTCCTCCTCCTCCCTCCTCCCTCCCTCCCTCCCTCCCTCCCTCGTCCTCCCTTCTCCTCGCCCCCTCCGCATTGTGCGAACGTTCGTGTCTCGTCCTCCCTTCTCCTCGCCCCCTCCGCATTGTGCGAACGTTCGTGTCACGAGGCTGGTCTCGCGGGCTGGGGGCCCGTACAGTCGAGCATCTGATTAAGAGACCTCCTCCCGAGAAGCTGGACCAGCGCTTCTTGACCCACTTGCCGGAAGGCTGTCCCAGTTTCTCGAGCACATTCGCCCCTCCAGCGTTCACTGCAGAACTCATGTGTGTGTGTGTGTGTGTTCAGACATTTCTGGGAAGCTGGCCCACATGTCTTACCTGAGCATGTTATTGAACTTATCCTCGGCAATCTTCATGTACGGCAGGCTCGCGTCGTGTCGAGCGGCCGCGACCCCGCCGCCCGCGTTCAACGTTGAACGCCAGCGGCGGCCCAGAATCGGTCGATGCTGAACGAGCAGACGTTGCGGCAACGGCCGACCGTTCACGGTGGAACCATCCCCGCGGTGTCGGGAACCAGCGCCAGGGCCGTCGCGACACGAACCTGCCGTACGTGGTCGGGCGCGCACGTCCTTTTTTAGCTTCCAAGCGGCCGCTCGGCGCCAGCCCGCGCCGCTCCCGCTGTCGGCCCCAGGCCCTCCTTCCGGGGAGGCCTGGGGCGAGGGCCGTCCTGACGCCGAGGACGTCGACGATCCTCTCGGCCTCGGGGGCCTTCGACCAACGCGACGACGGCTGCCCGCCCGCCCCTTTCGGGCGTGGGCAGGTCATGCCCCCTTCGGGGAGGCCTGGGGTGAAGGCCGCCCTGACGCCGAGGACATCGACGATCCTCTCAGCCTCGGAGGCCCTCTCGACCAACTCGACGACGGACGGCTACCCGCCCGCCCCTTCCGTACGTGGGCAGGTTTGCCGTCGGGCAGGAGAGCCATTCTCCTCCGCCCCACGCAGCCCCAACTGGCCATGCGGCTTGTGCACGCGTGTCCCCAACGAACGGTCACCGCGGCCGATCTGGAGCTCCGCCTGGGGCCGTCTCTGACGGAGAGCAGCACTGGGACCCCCTCGGCCTCGGCGGCGGGCTTCACGACACGGACGAGTCGCCTACCTCGGCCACCGCCATGGGCACCAGCAGCAACACCGTTCCTCGCGCTCCGGCCAGGTGCGGGGCCGGTCTCCAGGGGGCCACTCGGTGCCCCCTGCACAACGCTGACGCATCTTCGCCCGCGCTCCCAGGCCCTCGCGCCTGGAACGGCGTCCCACCAGCTCGCGGCCCCCAGCAGGCCGCCAGCCCACCGGCCAATGCCGCCCAGGCACCAAGCCTTGATCCCAGCCGTGCCGCCGTCCACGCCAAGGCCTGGGCCCTCGTGCCACCTGCGACGCTGATGCGACGAGGAGGCAGCACATGCTGAGGCGGCCGCCGCCGCGCCCACCAGTGCCCAAGCCTCCCTCCGCGGCGAGGTGCGCAGGCAGACCGCCCTCGAGGCCGCCCTTCGCCGGCCCCTCCCTGCGCACGCGGCGGTTGCGTGCAGCGGCCTGCGGAGCCATGCGCTGGGCCGCTCGTGCGCTGGCGCGCGGCCCTGTCTGGCCAGCAGCGCGTCGCCGCACACCCTCCACGTGGGGTGCCGTGCGGGGTGGACCGCACCTCGTCCTGCTCCTGCACGTCCTGCTCCTGCACGCCGGCACGCGCGTGAAGCTTTGCATGGCCTGAGCGAGGCTCCCCTGGCCTCCTGGGCCCTCCTTTGGCCCCCTCTCCCGGCGCTCGTCTGCCCTGTGCTCTAGTTTGATTGCCTGCACCCCAGTGCATTCTTGAGCGCTGCTTGACATCTCGCGGCCGCAA